TTGAGAGTAACGAAATTTCTATTCTCTGTATGTCCTGTACATGTGGCAGAATTGACAAATAAAGTTGACTTGACTTATTCTGAAACATTTATAGCATTACCTTTGATCTGTGTTTATTGCCTATGTCCACTGTGCATTTCCTCTCTATCACCTACAGCTCCCATGCAGCGGCCTTATATCCACCTAAAGTAATAAAGATAACCTCTTTTCCTTTAACAGCTTCTTTCCTCCTCTCCTTTCATTTGGTTTCTTTCTTTGACCTTTGACCTCAGCAGGAAAAGGGCACAATGGATCTAAAATAACACTTCCTCCATCCTGTCTCCAAGCCAAAATTAACACCAGACCTGAATAACAATATTCCTGCTGTTCAGTTCCTCATCTTCTCATCTGTAATCCCTAATCTTCTCATTCCTTTTAGTGCTGAGCTCTCATAACTGCAAACATGTGACTTTAAAACACTTTCTGTTTGTTTGCAGTCACTTGCAGACAGTTTCATTTATGAAAAACTAAAAAAAAAAACTGACTAAATTATTCTAAAATGCTTTATTTCAACGTAAACAAAATTTAGATGAATAATATCTTGAACATGGCTGTAAATGAATATGCTAAGAAGCTAGGCGCCTCAGTTTCCTTCAAAGACTTTAGAGGTTTTAAATGGAAACACATTTGCGTCCTTTTTTAAAATCTATCTAGCTTGGTGTCATTTGCCAAATTTTGGAGATGTCTGCTTTCTTTTAAATATAATAGAACTAAATTACATGTAAAACATCAGCAGCAGCACTTCTTACCACAAGACCCAGTTCCTCAAAAATATATTTTAAAAAACTTCTAGAGAACAGTTTCATGAAGGAACTGTTTTCTTTCTCCTGAACTGCACCTTTTAACTGTATGACTGTACAGAAGGAAGTGTACATCTACAACCCACTAATAGAGGTCCTGGCTTATGATTCGTGTAACAGGATGTAAACACTGGTGGCCCCGCTTCCACGCACTGTCCCTTTCTATGATGCAATGTTAGTTAGCTTCAAGGTTTTTTTGACTGGCATATTTAGACAAATTGTTTCTGAAAGTATTTGAATTTGATGTTTGGGGGGTAAACAGTTCATTTCAAGATACGATGAAATAAGATTATTTTGTGCTATGGAAGTGAAACAGTAGGTACCAGGATGGATCGATGACTTTGACCAATAGCAACTTCATTCTATTCGTTGTTCAGAAATTCCTCAGATGGTCTTTGAAGTGTCACGCTGGGAAGAAGTTAAGCTTAGATTGCAAAGGAAAACATTACAAGAGATAATTGGTGGTAATTTTCCTGTTTACGTTTGCTTTCTAATCCAGATAAATATGCCTTAACTGTATTTCAGTGTGGTCCTTTTCTTCACTCACTGGCTTCGTTTTTTAGTGGCGCTTGTCACCCATGTCCAGTGTTGGGCAAGTTACATTGAAAAAGTAATTAATTCTTAAAAAGAGTAACTGAGTTAGTAACTAAGTTACAAGATTCTAAAAGTAATTAATTACTTGAAAAGTAACTGTTACGTTACTTTAAAAAAAATGTTTAGCCCTCTGGGGTCCAGGGTACAATTGGCCATTTTTAACTACTTTTGATTTTCCCTCCACATTTCACCTTTAAAAACTATTTACTTTGCCTTGTTTGGTATCATCTTTTCAGCACAACCTCACGTGTCTGAATTTACAGTTATGTTTTCATTTTGACATACTGTATTAACACAATTGATCTAAAATCAGACAAAAAACATAAAATCAGAGTAGAAAAAGTTATTTTTTACTGTAACAACCACAAACATGTTTAATGAATCATATTTCATAACTTTAAATGCAAATATAAATTGTCAATTTTAAAATCCTATGCACAAGTTTTGCAAACAACAAAGTTATTTGCATCCATTTACTTTTACCTTGATTTTTTAAATAACCATTTCAAACTATTTACAGAACAATCAGCTGTTCTTCATTCAATAAGATGCCACACAAATTATTTGTGCCACTCCAAAAAAATAATTTCTGTCCACTATAAAGGAGAACATCACAGCCTGATACCTGCAGGTCTGACAGCAGCAGGTGTATCACCTGGAGACAGCAGTTGCCTCATTGTTCTGACACACAACACAAAACTATCCACAGCACTACACACTAACTACACACTGCAAACACACTAAACATCACAAATCTCTCAACAGCTCAAGACTCGCTCTCTCTCTTTTTCTGCTGTCTTTCTTTCTCTCTCTCTCTCTCTCTCTCGCTCTCTCTCTCTCTCTCGCTCTCTCGCTCTCTCACCGTCACTCCTAAAACTTCCCCCTCTTCCAAAACAACCAAATGTCATGTTGCTATATCATTTTTGATTGGTCTACTTGGTTAATTTTTCCACCAACACAAAAGGGCTGTTTTTTGTTTTGGTCATAAGCAGAGAGTGCTTGCTAGCGCTGTCCTCAGACAGTAAACATGATGAAAAAGCACTGTGTATATATTGTTGATCGTGACTATCAACACAATTTAAAAACTGGTATATATCTCCTTGTTGCTTTGTCATCTTAAAGTGGTCATGTGATTGGCTTACCACGACTACTTTATTCTTCCTCAGCCAAACAGCAGAACTCATGCGATTGTTTTGTCCACTAGCTACACTTCTTATGCCAAAAAGAAATCGTCAACCAGAAAGTGATTGCCATCCGCGGGAGCATGCGCAGCTGCTTAAAGCTGTAGCGTCCAGATTACTTTCAGCTACTTCCATGCAACTGATATAAGATGCGGTAAGCTGAACACAGCTTCAACCGTCTGTTTGTTGATAAATAGTAACGAGACCGTACCGCATTTTCTTGTTAGTAATGGCAACGGCGTTGTAACGATAGAAATAATAATTAGTTAGATTACTCGTTACTGAAAAAAGTGACTCCGTTGGTAACGCCGTTACTTGTAAGGCCGTTATTCCCATCACTGCCCATGTCATTCCCAGATCTCAATATTACTAGCAGAACCAACAAGGAGAAAAGAAAGAAATTAGAATTGCCCCAGAGAGCATGTCCTCAGCTAAGGTCAACGCCCCATCTCACAGCTGTAAACACAGTGATTCAGATCTGCTTCCAAATAAAACAGTTCCTCCTTTGCCCATTTAAAGCCTAAAGTTTCATACACTGAACAAATGTTAGGTATAGGACCCAAATTAGAGTGAAACAGAATTAGCTTTTTTATGTGGCTTTGCTGTATTTCATTTAAGTCATAGGTTAAGAGTTTTTCAACTTGGAAAACTGAAATCATGAATAACTCTAGGGCTCTCGAGGTGAAATGTAACATTTCAGGTGCACCATGGCTGACTGATCTTGTAGCATCCAGCTGTGCATTAATCGGATGCAACTGCATAATGGAGTGGAATAAATGTCAAATATAAGAGCCATTCACACCAGCAATTTAGATAGATCATTGTATCCCATTATCCTACTGAGTGCCATAAATGCTACATACTTTACAGGCTGTGGCTAAGTAACGTTCAACTCTGTGGGTGCTGCTGAGTGGTGTTTGAGCATCTGTGGTGCTGGGACGCATGAAATCAGAGCTCTTCATTCAAACCTTTTCAAGGCAAGGTTTTGAACTTGTCTGTAGAGCACCATTGCTCTGATGGAGAGCAGGACTTTTGGAGGTATCCACACTGTGATATATATCCAAGAGAGGGCCTCTGCAGAGCCAACTCTTTCTTCAACTGTGTTTGACCTTCTGTGTGTGTGTGTGTGTGTGTGTGTGTGTGTAAAACATGTGTTATTGTACTCAAGGTTTCAAAATTTACCTCATCATTATCCCTGGTTTGCTTCCAGAGTGTGTGTGTGTGTGTGTGTGTGTGTGTGTGTGTGTGTGTGTGTGTGTGTGTGTGTGTGTGTGTTCGTGTGTTTTCAAATCTTCTAAATCTTCAGGAAGGCCCTCATCGTCCAACCAGGCATAGCTGAGTGTAATTGGTTTATTACATAACCCACACACAGCTTTCAACAGAGCAGGGAGTGTGTGACGAAGTACACTCCATGAACTTTACCCACTATACATGAACACACACACACAAACTTTCTGTTCCTTCCATTATAGGGGACTGTGTGTGTTTGTGTGCTTAAGTGTGAGTGTGTTGATATTAGAGGCACAGCTGGCCATGCAGCGCTTCTTTGCACACATTTCATTGTATATACCATCATGACTGAATATATACACAGACTCAACAATGGTCTGTCTGTTTGGAGCAACTTTCTTTTTCTTGCCGTCTCGCCTCTCTGCATCTTCGTCTCTTGTCTTCTTTTCCCTTTTCCTCCAGCTCTTCTTCTTTGATTCCAATGGATTTGCACGGTCTCCTTCATTTTAAACAAGCAGTAAGAAAGTGCAACTCCAGCACTGCACTTTCTTTGAAATCTGATTGTTCCCTCCTAAAAAACGTTCCCTGCTGCGATGGGTCTATCGATGTCAGCTAAGAAGAATTAAATTGAAGTCTGCCTAATTAGTGCTGGCACAGTTTCTCTGTGCTTTTCGCCGGCCTTTTAGTGATGCTCTGCTTCAGCTATTTCTTCAGAGGGCCCGTGTTCTCATGTAAAAAGTTGCTGGTTCAAATATGGAAATTGTTCAGCTTTCCCTGAGCAGATTCTGGTATTGTAGGCAGCTTCACTTCCTAGCACTTTTTCTTCTGACCTATTTTTTTATCCTTCACTTTCCGCTGCACACACACAAAGACAGAGAGAGAGAGAGAGAGAGAAGGGGCAGGAGGAAAGGAAAACATGTGATAATAGGAGAGGAAGAGAGAGCACAAGAATGAAAGAGAAACACAGAGAAAGGCACACCAAACATTTTTTTAGAAATGGAAAGAATAAAACATCAAGGGAAAATATGGAATGGAGAGATGAGATTAGCTCAACTCACTGGTAAGGCATGCCAAATATGTGGTGCATGCATGTGATCCTAACTGCCTAAGCTGCTTCTTTACTGGAATAAAGCAGCCAGTGGTGCAACTGGACACACCAACTTGCATGAATTCATGAATCCATCCTTCCACTTATTCTACATAGTGAAGGAGAATACAGGAAAAAACAAAACTGGTCCAAGTCTCTGGTATTCATTACAGGCACAGTGCCACGTTGTCAGGTTTGGGATTTGAAAAATGCTAAATAACATTTTTGTGGCTTACATGTAATTAGAAACAGTTGTTTCTTTTGACAGCAGCTAGAACTTTACACTTCGTTCATTTTGCATGTTTATCAGATTACAAGTTACATTGCAGCAATTTTGTAGCTCATCTTTAAGTTAGTTATGTTTCCAATGACAAGTTGTATAACAGTCAGTGTGTAGGGCTAATATATCAGCTAAGGATCAGCCTTGTTGACTGAGTTTTATCCGTTTTAAATAAACTTTATTAATACCAGTGGCTGGTATTTATCTGTGTCACATCTTTTTTTGTTTTTTCAAAGATAATGGGATTATTGATGAACATTTTTGGCTTTATTCATGTAACAATGTATGCATTTTACATAAATTTATAGAGAAAGGACTCAAAAATAAATTGTCTTACAATATAATACAAATACAAAACTGCTACAGATTTCACTTTAAGGATATTGACTGCTGTGCTAGCTGTAATTAAAAGTCTGCATATTTACTGAAATAAACAAACAGCTAGCTTGCACGCTAATATGCTAACTGTAGTAAAAATATTGTAGCTGTGCTAAAAATATAGCATACAATCAAGCTGTTTTTCTTTTTCTCTAGATTTAGCTTGTGTATTAGCTGTATTCTGAATGGGGTCAAATAAATAATGTGTGAATTCTCATTTTTTAGAAATAAAAATTCATCCATTCGTTTATTTTCTTAACTGCAAATCCAGTTCACGCTCATGGTGGTGATGGAGCCTATCTCAGCTGTCTTAATGTGAAGGATGGTGTAAACCATAGACAGTTTTGTAGAATTACAAATAATATTCTCTGTATTTTATAATGTGGTACTACAAAGTCAAGTAGCATTACAGTGTTGCTTCCTGTCTAGTTGACAGCTGTGTTAGGATGGATGTTTTTTATTGTTTTATAATCAAGAGTGTGTAACTGTAGGAAATGACTCACTGTGTAAACACTGATGAAACTGAGACAAATCTTTAAACTTAATTAAATGCTACAGAGACAAACCTCCATGAACAGTTGGTAATACTTATGCAGTTGTACTCCTGATTAAAAATCTTTGTACAGCTTTAGGATACTTCATATATCCACACTGGACATCACAAAGATGAGTCATATATATATACAGAACATATGCACAGTTTTTTGTATGTTTCATTTTTTCAAAATGTTTCAAATTCAAATAAAATACTCACATAGCGCCTCAGTTTTTTCTCTGGGGGTGACTTTCTCAGCCACCCTTCACACACCACGTCCCCTGCTCCGCTCATCCCGATGCCAACAAATATGGCTCCAGCAGTGCTTCTTTAATTATCAATTAACCAATCAGATGGACCTCAGTTGATCAGGATGCCAGTAATGTGTCAAAGCAGGCAACCATTCAGTTGATCACCATGAATTTCCAACAGTCAAGTACATTTAACCAATCGAATGTCACATAGGTTCATTAGTCCTTTCAGTAAGTCTTCTTTTTTGTTAACAATGATCAAATCCAAACAGATTTGAGATCAGCTGCTTTGGCTTTAAATCGGTAAACAAGGCATCCAAGCTTCACACCAGTCTGAGATCCAGTCAGTTGATCTGTACATGTGCAGGTCAGGCTTCCACTTTGTCAATCAGACTTTTAATAAGTTAAGGTTTCCAGTCTGTTTTTAAGTAAAATCCTGCTGTAATAAATCAGTTGAGCAGTTTCTATCCACACATGGAAGAGCTTCTGTTCACCCGTCGACGCCTGAGTCACACCTCCTTTTGAGAAAGCTTCAACTTCCCAGCAGTCACTCTTCCCTCCCTCCTCCCTCCTTTCTCTCACTCTCTCGCTTTGTGTGGTTGTGCGATAACTGAACACAATGCCTCAGCTCGGACATTCCTGCTCTCCTCTCCACCCTCTTTTCCCTCCTCCTCCTCATCACTCCTCCCATTCTCCTCCTGCTCTGTGTAACAGGAAACTCCCCCTGTGGATATGGATGCAGTTTTTTTTGGAAAATGTGCGAGGGAAAAGGAAGATGTCTACTTTAATATAAAGTGAACATGGCATGGACATAAGTTGAATAAACTGATGGATAAAGTAGATTTCTAAATATAATAAGCATGAGTATGGGTCTACTATGACAGACGAGACCTTTGATATCAACAAAAGAAAACGTGTTCAACAAAACAAGAAAAAAAACATTTTTTCCTCCAACAGCATCTATTTGTTTCTTTTAAATTTCTACTTAAAAAAGATGCACACATTCAGTAACAGCTCAACAGCCATTATGAACAACCTTGGGGTCTATTGATGATTATATATTAATCCATGTACCTTGGTATCTCCAGGTATCTTGTGTGAAAGAGCACTCAAAGTTGTTTAAGGTTTAGGCTCAACCCTAAATTGATCAGTTTCCAGAGTTCCAACTACACTTGAAATTAAAGACTTCTTTAAAATATATTATATTGGTAAAAGAGAGGCTACAGCACCCTCCAGTGCTGAAAGACTCAAATAAATAATAAATAGTAGATGAAGTCCACTTTCTTCAATTTCTTCTCTTGTGAAATTGTCAAAAGTAAGATTGTGTCATCAATAATAAATTAATACTAAATTAAATGTATTGATCAGTAAAATGACTATGTTAATTTCAATTCTCCACTTCAAGCCTTAAACATAAAAATCAGATTGAACCCCTAAATAACTTAAACTTAATGAACTTCTTCTATAGTTCAGTTTACATGGCTTGAATATTTCCTGAATTATACCTTAATTTTTTTTTATTCTTAAGTAATTATTTTTTTATAATTGAACTTTTTTTCAAATCAAAACGTACACATAAATTGAGTTATTGTCAATATTATCTTTATATGTTGCTCATTTATTTATTCCTTTCTTATATTGCAGTTGAAGTACATGTATTATTTTTGTTAATAGTAATTTGACTGACATAAAAAAAACAAAAAAAAAAAACAGAAGCTTTATATTTAAAAAAAAAAATGGCACAGATAATTTTCCAAAAGTTGATTCTGTTCATCTGGACGTAGCGTTTTCAGTGGGAGAAACATTTCGTCACTCATCCAAGTGACTTCTTCAGTCTCAGCTAACTACAGGTCTTTTAAACAGTGTATTTGCATAATGACTGATAATAATGAAATGAAATAATAATGAAAACACTATGCTCAGATAATTGTTTTGGGCTGGAGATTTTGTGATTTTGTTTTGTTTATACCAATCTGTGTCTACACATGCATTTGAGAACTTATTTATCTTACACTTGATATGTCTGAGTCAGTTTTTTCTTGGGAAATGACAGAGCGATGAGGAACCTTCTTACAGTAAAATGATGTTTTAATTTAATGGGGAAAAATATCCTACCCTGCTCACATAATTTCCTTGGGGATTAATAAAGTAAAAAATCTTGCAAAACAAATATGAATCATACTAGATATCATTATGTATTACAGTGGGTGAGAGGTAGAACTCCCTACATGAGGTCACGGTGGAAATTACTACATGTTTGATGTGGCAGACTTTTGCCTCAAATGTCTTTTTAGCACAAAACAGGGATTTGTGTCTCCAAATATAACTGAACCAGGGACCTTTCAGTTGCCAAGCAAATGTGTAAACTACAACAGCTTAATAGTGCAGTAGAGAAGCTGAAAGTTGATTCTTAAGTTATTACTACTTTACTAAATATAGTATTATTTTCTTATAGTATCATTTTTCTTTAAAACTGGCAATTGTCCCCCCAAACACGTAGGAAAAACTCAGGTTGTATGAGTTGTACTTCTGTTTTGTGTGACTAGGTGGCAGAATTGGAACTTGCTGTACTTTTGTCAAAGAAAATCATGCATTATTAGAACTATAAGGTACAACAAAAGGCATTAACACACCCCAGAAGAGCTTCAGGCTTTTGAACTTAGCACTTGTAACCAGCTGGATGGCCCCTCTTCTCTTTAGTTCAGAGGTCATCCAAGTTTTCCAAAAGTAATTTCAAATTTCAATTTCTCTGACCTCAGAACAATTTTACATGAGTGATCATATCCATTATTATATCACTTTATTTTAAATATTTAAGTCTTCATAATTTTATGCTAAAGAACACTATTCTTAAATTCTTCCACCGTTGTAGACTTTCTTTTTTGTTGTGCTTTTTTGGGACCTCCTGGGTGAGTCATCAGTGCAGTCTTGGAGTAATTTTTGAAGGCTAGCTGCTTCTGGGAAAGTTCACCACTCTTCAAAGTTTTCTTCTTTTGTGGATAGTGACTCTCATTTAGTTTGGTGTGGAGTCCTAAAACTGTAAAAACTGCTTTGTAAACATTTCCACACTTACATTTTCACATAGGTTTGTATAGCATTTTTTAAATCATGATTGAAATGAAGTAATGAGTTAAATGATTTAAAAAGTTTTGATTTCCTAATTTACTTTGCTTTAAGTGTGAAAAATATGCCAAAAAAAAGAGTAAGTGGCAAATACTTGTTCATAACTGTATATGTATTTGTGACAAAAATAAGTGGTCTTACCTGCTGTGGGGACCTCTTGTGAATAAGGGAGCGGCCAAAAGTGGGTTTGTTTTGTCATTTCTTAAATACAAGAGGGGAAAGACCTTGTAGGAATGAAAAATAGTACAGGGAGAGAAACAAGAATGTCTGTGTCAGGCAATGTAAAAATACACTGACATTATGTGGCCATCTGCTTAGCTACTTATCAGTTTGTGTTTGATACAGAGTGACATATGGCTATTTACTGCCATCTGGTGTTAGTTATACAGAACTGCAAGTAAAGTCACTGTTGCGTTCTTGTTGTTGTTTTTCTGTTGACAAAAAACAGCTGTGGATATCTGTCTTTTTCATAGCCATTTTAGGATTTTTTTGTTACAGAAGGTCTCTCAAAGATTTAGACACCAAAGTGTCAAACTGACACTGACTGTCTCTTATTATTATTAACTGATTATTAACTGAACATACTTGAACTGATTGGTGCCATAGGCAAAAAAACAGGGGGACCATCCATCCAGTGTTCAGCACCAACTATGCAGATATGAAAAATGAAAAATCCTCCAACGCTCACCCAACAATATTACATTTCCTATGATTTTTCATCTGATATATACTGCTTCATTTCCACGCATATAAAATGAATATTGTTGCACATTTAAAAAACAAAAAAAACCCTGCAAGTAGAGGGTGGACTGGTGGAGCGTGGTGCATTACTTCAATGTGACTCTTATGGCAGAGTCACAGTTATTTTTTGCATATCAATATATTATTAACTAAAAATACACCTGTGAGAAATATTAATAGGTCATGTGGTCGAAACCAGGGATTGGATTCTTCATGATATAGACATACATGTATTTACTTTGTGTTATTTTCATGGTTAAACACCCCTGCGAGAATCAAAACAAGAAAGCTCATATTTGAATAAAACACGAGAACAGCTGTGATGACCTAAACTGCATTCCTTGATTTGTATACAAATGGATCGTTGTTTGTTTCAAAGTTATTTGAATTATGAAAATGTTATGAAAAAACGAATATCATTTGCATGGCTTCATTCTAGCTGCATGATTAGCTGGTGGTGATCATTCGCAAAGTCCTTCTAAGAGCACATTTCAGCCATCTGGAAGCAAATCTTTGTGGTTGAGTTAAATTTCTACTATGCGTGTATTTTCATAACATTGCAGCTTTTCTAATCTCTTAATACAAAGTGCCGTCATGGACACACCTTGGCTCGTGTAACTGACAACACTGAACAAACGTCATGCTAATTGTTATCTGGTCTTATGGGAAAAGGGGAAAAGAAAGAAAATATAAAGGCCAACGTATTTTAACCGTGTAAAAAGATTCAAAGAACGAACTTGAATTGCAGCATGCAAAACTCTCCTGTACTCCTCCTTTTACCTATTACAAAAATACTCATTTTTTTTAAAGAGGTGGACATTCGAATCAGACATTTACAAGAGTGGCTGACAATAGGAGGAAGATCAGACTACTGACAAAGTGAGTCTTCTTCTTCTTTTTCCTCTTTTAGCTGATCACTTTAGTCACCACAGAGCAGACTCCTCAATCACACCAACACTGCATCGCTTCACACTAGTTACAAAGGAAAAGATCTTTAAAGATAAAAAATAAAATAAACAATATTGTCACAACTAAACAATTATAGAATATTTGTCTGTTTTTACATCATTAGGTTTTCATTCAAGACATAATTACCCCTTGGATGCACAACCTACCAATACCTACACTCTTCCACGAGTGGGGTCAAAAATGACCCCAAATAGAAACAATGCATTTTGCTATAAACTTGGTTGTTATTCTTCAAAATCTTTAAAACGAAGAGTTGTTATATTTTCATATTTGAGGTATTCCTCATAAAACATGTTTGTGACATGAGGCCCTTTACATTTTTATTTATTTTTTTCATTAATTTTAAGAAATTGCAGTTTTTGTATCAGTTGTATCACTTTTGTATGCTTGCTCTGCATATACTGCAGAAGCTGGGCCTTCCAACTGAAAGTCACAAGTTGTTCATCCACTGTAACACAATCACTGAGGATGAATTTCTGCCTGCAGTTGACCAGGAACAGGTCCCATATGTAGCAGAAAGCTGCCATGTGGTTTGTTTTCAGTCGGTAGGCTCTGGTCCTCTTGTCATCAAAGTGCAAGAAACTGTGAATATCTTCAAATCGTTGAATTGACATAGTGGCCTTGAACAATGGGTTATGCAGAGGACTTGTACATCCCAGTTCTTCTCACTTCCTTCAAGAATGGTCAATCAAATGAAGGTCAGGAGCTTATGTTTGTTTACATTTTTCCACTCTTTTCCAACGTCTTTGGCTACTCTTCGTG